CGCGATAGCATGAATACCCATCCCTCCGTGTAATACCCATCCCTCCGTCTAATACCCATCCCTCCGTACCTCGTTATTCCTCAAACACAAACATCTATCCTCGATACTCCCTCCAGGTTCCGTGTATTATAATATGTACGCGTGTAATGTATGTGCACCTCAGCCAGTGTTCGTTCCTATCAATACCCTCCATATCCCGCTGTTCCGATTTTACATAACAAACATGAACGCCGAGAGGAAGAGAACTCACACCGCCTCATGCTTCCTTCCTTCCTTCCCTTCCGCCTCTTCCCACTTTGTTCCCACCGGTCCTCACCGGCCATCGAATGTGAGTGTGAGTGGGGTGCGAAAAGTGGGACAATGTGGGGTCCCTTCCCCATCCGCTTCCTCCTTCTCATACTAACCGCCGGCTCGTCCCGAGCGAAGTTGGAACTATATTGAGTAGCGGAGGTAATTCCCCATCCGCGCCCATTTCCCGCTTTTCGTTTCTCAGCGCTCAGCAACGAACGACTCATAATATCCGCAACTTAATAACGATCGAGGTAAGTAAGTAGGGTTGAATTGAACTGAATCAAGTAAGTAGGGTTCAATTGAACTGAGTCAAGTGAACAGTTGACCTGCTATCTCTTAGCTCTCTCTCTTTACAAGTGAAATCTCGGACCACGGCCCTATAGTAGTACGAGCAGAACAATCGATGCCAATGCCGATGCCGATGCCAACTCTGCCGCGGTATTGAATCCAACTCACACTGGTTGGTTTCCCCGAAATTCAAGAGAATGATTTCCGCGAATTTCTCCATTTCATCCGGACTTCCCCGCTCGTGCTCGGGCGGTTCGTCTCCACATTCTAAAATAAAGTGCCCATGATTGCCCACAATTTGAATCCACCATTACTATATTCGACCACTCCACTCCACTCTGCAGTTTATTACTTCAACTAGGCTTCTCTGCCCTCGTACGACTTCGAGTTCTCTGCCCTGAATCACAGATTCCAAACAGATCTAGATTCATAGATTTATAGCAGCTTCGAGATCGAACCCGCGAGCCGAGCCGTGTACATCATGCAATTCTGTACTCTACGTATAAGAAACACAGAATCTGTAAGTGCTAAGGAACACAGAATCTGTAAGTGCTAAGAAACGCAGAATCTCTGTATGTATGCGAAACTGAAATAAGTTGTATGACACTGGTTGAACATTCCAAGTTTTTTGGTGAAAAATTTGGTGAAAAGTAGTTTGAGTTTTACACAAATTTTTCACTGAAAAAGTAGGTGAAAAACTTAGAAGTTTTTCAAACATTTTCACTTTTAAGGTGAAAAATCTAAAACAAAGTTAGAAAGTGGTGAAAAAGTTTAAAATTTTTCACCTACTTTTTCAGTGAAAAATTCGTGTAAAACTCAAACTACTTTTCACCATTTTTTTCACTGAAAAACTTGGGATGTTCAACCAGTGTGAGAAAGGCAAGTAAGTATTAGTACCAAGAGGGGAAAAAATGTTTGATAATCTACCCTTATTGGGAGGCGGGGAGTCGAACCCCGGCTTGCTGCTTCTACATTATTCTCAGAAAGCGATGCACAGAGCGCAGTCATGCACCGTACACCACGTCCCATCAATTCTTGATGTTTGAGGGTGGACAAACCGCTGCTTTACAAGGTATCCATCCATCCATCCATCCTTTATAAGTGCAACTACTTACTGTGATACTTGTAAGTACTCACTGTGATACTGATTGGTACCACTTAGGCTACTCAGGCACTCCAGTGGCCTTTCTTAAGTTTTCTACTGGTCAACCATTGCCCCTATTCAAATTCTTCTCGAACAGTAGAAAACTTATGAATGAATATCCCTTCCCATACAAAGAAAATGGCAAAAATGACAGAGCAACTGGCGAGGATCACTGGGACGCGGGGAGTCGAACCCCAACCTGCTGCTTACAATGTGCTCAGATGACGAGAACAGAGGACAGCTGTGCACCATGCACCACATCCCATTTCCCTGCCTACATTTGAGGTCGGATAAACCCACTCCAAGTCTTTTTGAGCATGTTGAAAATTCAATCAGACCTCCAAGTCTAACCTCCTTCTTAACCCTTGCCTATCTTGCTTGAATTGTTCTGACAGTGAAGGATATATGTTCAACATATCTATCTGAGGCTTTCAAACAGGTGGAGAGAGAAGAAGAAAAGAATGGATCCCAGAAGGAATAGTTGGGATGCGGGGAGTCGAACCCCAGCTTGCTGCTTGCACAGCTTTTGGCCAATCAAGGATAACTGACAGCAACCATGCATCCCATTTCCTTTCCTACAACCTGAGGCTGACTAAACCAGCAACTCTGGAGGCACACTAAAACCTAACCTTTTCAACCACGTAGGGCCAGTGACATCAAAGACTCAAATTTCGAAAGAAAGGAGAGCTCGAGGTCAACGAAATAAACAACAGAAAAGAGAAATATCTGCAGTCGAACCAAACGACAGAAAATATTGCTGCAGTTTAACAAGGAATATTTGCATCAGGAAAAACCCGATTTGCAAATTCTTCACATTATGTTGCAAATTGTTGACAATCCTCCAACACAACAATTGTTTAAAAATGTTGACAAAATGTTGAGATTTCTGCTACATTCTTCAATTTTTTTTGGCAGCACCGCTCAAAAATGATCTGCAACACCGTTAACTGCTGTGAAACTCCCTGCAGACAAAGGTGATGGCCTGTCATTCCTCCGTCTCGCACTGGAACAGATCATACCTTAGCGTTGTGACGAAAATCCTCCAAGTCATTCAAAGTCCACTAACCGTCGCTAAACGGCTCAAAGCCGATCAGACGAGGACCCATGAGAATCCCTTTTGAGGCCAGGTCCCGAAGTCGGCCAAATGGCCACTTTTTGTCCGGACACGCTGATTGGTCAGGAGCTAGCCGAGCGTGATGGCATCACCCGTAAATGGTAATTGTTGGCTCTCACGCCTCCGAAAATGGTGATTTCTTTCATTGCGGCATCGTTTCATGTGTTTTCGCCCTGTTTTCAGCCCGTTTCAATGAATGCGCTGCCGTTTTTATCCAAAAAAACCTACCCTGTGAATTTTGGCCACCAAAAAATTCCAAAAAGTCAGCCCAAAAGTCGGATTTTTGTCCGTCCCGGACCTAGGTTTCGGACCCAAAATCACCAATTTTTGTCCGGCACCGGACCTGGCCTCCAAAGGGATTCGCATGGGTCCTATCAGACGATACACCAAAGATTGATCGGGGATCACTTCTTCGAGATTTTTCATATAAGCACCTCGCAAGCGTCGTCTTTCCTTTACTTTCCCCCCCATCTTCCCTCCCAAGTCCTGCAAGTCTCGCGGTCCCCTCCCTTATTCCGCCGCACATACTGTCCCTTGACACCAACTCCTCAACACTCCCACCGTCTCGAGTACTGCACTTTACGGCTGGTGTAGGAAGTCAGCTGCTATGGGAGCTTTGGATACCGTCTCACATTGCTCAGGTCCGTGTATTTCCCCCGCTGTATCCTTCCCCTCGTTAATTACAACACAGATTTCATGCCATGTCGGCTTCGCGAGGGTTTACATTCTACCGTCATCGCCGTGACATAAACCAGCATCATGAGTGTCCCACATCACATGACGAGGTCACTGCAATGTACACATTTTCACATTGATACTGTCCGTAACACTTATATTCGACAGCTTTACCTTTGCACTTGCCGTTGCATTGTAACATTACTCAATCCTCATCTCGATGAAGTCTCGGTGATGCCTTGTCACTGCATCCCATCCCCTTTCTGTGAGTACGTCTTTGTACCCTAGTTTGATTGTACTATTTTCGGCCAAGTGTCTTACTTTCAAATACCCATATTTGACTCTTTCCGTCTGACGAATTATATGTACCGTATGTATCAGTGTTTGATGTTCTGTAGTGCCTTCGACATTCTGTAGTGCATGCAAGCATTCATATATAGTTCATGTAGTATGTAGGGTATTCACAAATAAATCATTTTTTGACAAATCCTTTGCTTTGACTGCAATGAATTATTTTGACCATTCTATCATGTTTTTGGGGCTCCAAACACATTGAATTCCATGCATATTGGCCTCAATTGACTTCAAATGTTGAACAATTGGCAGAGAATTTGCAACAATTTTCAGGGACCAGTCTAATCACGCATTCTTGCAAAATCAAACATTTTTGAAAAATTTTAAGTAAATGTTGTCAAAATCTAACATATTTCTACACTTTCTGCCGAATGGCAATGGGGGTTTTTCCTGATGTGGAAGTCAACGAAGAAGCAAGTATGGGAACAAAAATGTTTGCAACTATCACGGGGAATTTGGGATGCAGGGAGTCGAACCCTGACTTGCTGCTTCTAACTTAGGCGGTAAAGCGCAACAGAGGGCAGCCGTGCACCATACACCACATCCCATTACTTCTCTATATTTGAGCTTGAACAAACCATCAACTTATTGTTTGAGAACTCACACGAGTCTTGAACTGGTGAAACAATGATACAATCCCACAAAAACAACCACAGTGACAGAGTCAACTTGAAGCAGATCCAATTCTCACAGAGGCATCAGGTGTAATTCTCCCAGAGGCATCAGGTGCACTTCTCACCGAGTCAACCAGGCTCGATTTTCACCGAGTCATACATGGCACGTTAAAACAAGGGTGGGGAAAAAATGCTGGACGAGAGGCCATTGGGATGCGGGGAGTCGAACCCTGGCTTGCTGCTTACAAGGTGCTCAGATGACAAAAACAGAGAGCAGCTGTGCACCATACACCACATCCCATTGATTCTCTAAGTGTGAGGGTGGATAAACCAGCTACCTTACAAAGGAGGTTGAGACTTTCACCCAACCAGGCCAAAAGGTCAAGGGTAGTCAAGTCAATTAAGTAACAACCCCTGGGTCTGGATTGCACAGATATCTACCCGTCTGATTCTGTCCTATTTCAAAAAATTAAGATTGCCAATGAAGAAAAAGAAGAAGAAGAAGAAGAAAACACGTCAATTGGGATGCAGGGAGTCGAACCCCGGCTTGCTGTCTACTTTTGATGGAGCCATTACCAAAGGCAGCCGTGCACCATACACCACATCCCATTGATTCTCCATGTTTGTGGGTGGATAAACCAGCTACTTTTCTGGAGCCTGTGGGAAAGTTGACCTCAAAGGTCAAGTAAAGCCAAGTCAAGTAAGTAATGGCAATTTCCGGGTATGGACCCTGAAATTCTTCTGCACATATATCCTACTCATCCGATTCCATCCGTTTCAAAGGTGCCAATCATCGTTCTGCCAGTAGTACTTGTGAGAAAGAGAAAAAACCCATCAGAGCCGTCAATTAGGATGCAGGGAGTCAAACCCCAGCTTGCTGCTTGCATATTTTGCTGGATATCCGACAACTGGCAGCAGTTGTGCACCATACACCACATCTCATTTTCTTCCTACAGTTAGCCTGAACAAACAGGTGAACCAGTTTCATCGGGTTCAACCGCACAACCGAGCCATATCAGGTTCAACCTCATAATATTAAATTTCTATGCATTGCCGGCGCACTCAAAGTTAAAACTTGGTCTTCATCACTGTCAGGGGAACCCCTATTTCCGGCCCTTCCGCTCCCGCATCCGGACCTTCCGGTCCCGTTCCGACCCGTTCCGGCTCCTCCCGATATCACATGGCCTGTGATTCCGCCCGGGACCTCTGCCGATCACTCCAGTTGCTATCACATGCCCCCCGTCCGTAGTTACTTATATACCGGGATCTGACGCGGGTGATCCTTAGTCTTTCTTCTCTTCGGATCCCCCTCGTCAGGACTCTTGAGTATACTCGGGCCTTGAGGTTGCCCTTACAGCAGAAGAAAGACTCTAAGGGATTAACTGGCCAAGATTGCGGGTTACGGTTTAGCAGACTCGAACGACTCTGAAAGTGCTCCGGTCTCCCCGAACCCGAATCTTGTCCCCTCCTCCCCTCGTCTAGATCCCTCCATGTCCGACGCGTCCACGGAAGCCGCCGCCCGGTTGGACCGGATCGAAGCGAGCATCGCGTCACTTGCAAAACTTGTCCAAAACCAATATCCCACTGCTGCTTCGCCTGCCCCGTCCCTTGCCGACCCGGCTCCGGACCCGGGTCCAGGGTTATTTAAAAATGTTGCCCCTGGAGCGAAATCGGTCCTCCGGCCGAGCCCCCGATCGTCTTCGACGGTGACCGCAAGAACGGCCGGGCCTTCCTTCACCAGGTCCGGTCCTACGCCCGGTTGCTTCCGGAGGCGTTCACGGAGAACGGGGAACCCTCCGAGGAGAAGGTCGTCCGGTACGCCATGTCTTTTATGGCCACCGGTTCCGCACAACGTTGGGCCGAGCGTCAGTCCAACAAGACCCCATTCCTCCTCACGAGCTGGGACGCATTCCTCCGGGAGTTCCGGCTCCGGTTCGTCGAGGAGAACGAACAGGACCATGCGCTGAACAAGCTCGAGGGACGCTCGTACCACATGGGCTCCCGGGACGTCTTCCAATACACGGACGACTTCGAGGACCTCGTCGACCTTGCCGGCTTCGAAGACCCCCTCGTCAAGGTCACGAAGTACCGGACGGGCCTCGATCCGGCTATCAACACCGCGATAACCGGATCTTCCGACCCTCCGGACATCCGCGACTACCCCGCCTGGAGGCTCCGCGCCTACCGCCATCACGAGGCCAAGCTCCGCGCTTCGGAAGCCGCCCTTCCGATGCGCCATGCAACCGCGACGGGTTGCACCCGGGTGATTCCCGTCGCCCCCGCCGTGGTCTCGACCCCCCAGCCGAGGGCTGCCGTGCCGGTGCTTCCACCTCCGGTCCCTATGGACGTGGACCGCACCCGCGCCCGCAATGCCCCTCGCCGTGGCTGCTTCCGCTGCGGCGATCCGAACCACTTCGCGAAGTACTGCACCGTTCCGGTCGACATCCGGTCGACTGACGTGCTCGACGAAGTGATCCGGCAGCTGGGAGGCGAGATGCTGGAGGAGCTCCTCGCCAAGGTAGCATCCGCGCAGGCTGTCGCGGACTGTCCGGTCATTTCGGAACCGGAGGATTTTCCCCTCCGCGACGAGTGAGCGGTGCGCCCTCGTTCGCGTCCCCTAATCGTTTCGCTGTTCTATGTAACGAGTCTGACAATATATCTCTTGCATCCCCCGAAACGATAGACGCACCCCCTGATCCGAGCGGTATTCCGGCCGCTCCGGTCCTTCCGAAAACTCGGCCGCCTCGTAGGCCGTCTTGGGAACACAAGCTTCCGAAACGGTATACGATTGCCGCCGCTCCGAGCGCCAACTCCCTCCACCTCCCTCTGGAGATTGAGTCTGCCGACAATGCCGCCAAGCTCTCGCTCAAAGGCCTTGTCGACTGCGGAGCCACCTCCGAGTTCATCGACTCCGAGTACGTCCGGTCCACCTCCTTTCCGATCCGGCAGCTTTCGCAGCCAATCCCGGTCTTCAACGTCGACGGTACCCCGAACGAGGCTGGCTCCATCCGGGCCGTCACGGACGTGGTATTGCGCTATAAGGGCCACACCGAGCGCGTGCAACTCGCCGTCACGCGCTTAGGTAAGCAGAAGCTCATCCTTGGGTACTCCTGGCTCCGGAAGCACAACCCGGAGATCAACTGGGACACTCAGGAGGTCAAGATGAGCCGATGCCCGTCCGGTTGCAACACCTGCACGGACGAAGCCCGGTGATACGCCGTACTCTGTACAAGCTTGAAATCGTTCATTTTCGCGATCCTTACAAGTCTGTTAAAGCTTGCTAAGGACATAGTAAATACTAGAGGATGCTAGTCTTGAAGCCTGGACGGAGCATTAAAGTCCCGAGATGTGTTGATTCAGTTAAACAAGAGCCGGAGCAGTAGAGTAATCTCCAACGGTACCTCCAAACTGGGGCCGGAGAAGGTAACTTGAAACGAAAGGGCCAAAGCTGAGGTTAAGGACTCACCCGGCAAGGAGCATCTGAACACGGTGCTACAAGCTCGGTGTCAATACCAGC